TCCTCCTGTGCAGGGGCATGCCCGCCTTAATCTGGGCCTTATCCGCGGGCACACACGATGCGATGCGATGCGACCACCGTTGCGGACAGTGTCCAGGCCTCGCTCGGTCCAGGTGGGCGAGGCCGTGGCCTCGCGAACCTGGCCTGTCTGGCTAAAAACTCGGAAGGAGGAGGTCAGGAGTAGGAGGAGGAGGAGGAGGAGGAGGAGGAGGAGGTCCTGCTCAGAAGCACTGAGGTAGCCAAGTTGACCTTTCGTAACTGCATCTATGGTATGTTCCTGGGCCCAGGCGTTTCTTCTCGACAGCCTCTTCCTCCTCCTCCTTTTCCTCCTCCCCTCGTCGTCCTCCTCCTCCTCCTCCTCCCTCCTCCTGCTCCTCCTCCTCCTCCTCCTCCTCCTCCTCCTCCTCCTCCTCATCCTCCTTCCTTCCTTATCACCCCCCCTCCTCCCTCCACCTTCCTCCTCCAAACGCCTCGGCTGAGTACCTTGCCATGTCGGGAGCGGCCCCCCACCTCATCCCTCGCACGCCGTGCCAGTCGTTCTCGGAGGCCCTCGAGATCCACGAGGCTGCCCTCCAGCTCGTCTCCTGGGCTTGCCTGAAAAAGGTTGCCTCGAGATCCCTTGGGCCGTGGGGCCCCCGCCTGGGCCCACTCGCGGGTTGCGTGCTCCAGGCAGGTCGTGCCCGGCAGGGGGCACGAGCATGCGCTCTGGCATCGCGGCGGCATGTGAAGGAGTGGCGGTGCAGGTCGTGTGGGAGACTGGCCCGATCGGACTCGACCCTGGCCTGGCTTCGCACGGGCTCGGGCAGGAGATGTGAGCCTTCTGCTATCCATCGTGCAGCTGGTAGGGCAACGAACTCTATACACCGACGCGTTTCCCGACCCTGCGCTGAAATTCGCACAGGAACGCGGATTCTGGTGTATACGGGATCTTGGTGTGTACATGTGTCGCTGCTTCCCCAAGGAAACGGAAAAAAAGTATACACCACACCACCCCGACGTCGTCCCCGACCCTCAAAAAAGTCCTGGGATTGAAACAAAACCCGCCACTGGTAATGTATATGTTCAGTTTCCGAGCTAGTGCTGTGTTGTTTCGTCTTTCAAGTCTCGAGTGGGCACGGTCTGCTGGCCCACGCCTCGCAGCCTCTCGGGAAGAGGTCTCGGCATTCCCAGGAGAGGGCCTGACGGAGGCCCCGCCCGTACCCCCCCTCGACCCTGGTGGTAAGTGGGTGGTGCATGATGCCATGGAGTGATGTCGTGTTTTGCACGGCGCGTCGTTGTTTCATAGCCGCGCCACCAGCGGTGGCTCTTGTTTCACGGCTTTGCCAATGCACCTTTGACGTGCACGGCGTCTCTCTCTCTCTCTCTCGTACGGCCCCTCGGGGTTCTCTTTCTGAGGCGTGTTCGGTTCGGACGCGCTCTCAGTGGCCATCATCCCTCATTCCTCCCCCTTCCCCTCTGAGGGGCAACGATAGGGGGGGGGGGGGCTGGCGGGGGTGGGGGACAACGACCTGGAATCGGAGATTCATCGCCGATAGATCGGCGATAGGCCCCCGATAACAAATTCACAGGTTCCTGGGCAGGGTGGGGCTATCGGGCCCACTTATCGGCAATCCATGGGCGATTCGGGGACGATGTGTCCCCCACTATGCTTATCTAGAGGCCTCCTAGATGGGGTCGGAGTAGATGGTGTCGGAGGATCGCGCCGCATCACCGATACATCGGCGATGCATCGGCGATACACTGGCGATGCATCGTCGATGTCGGCGATGCATCGGCGACGTCGGCGTGGAGAAAATCGGGCTCCACATCGAGCCGCATCGGCGATTCATCGGCGATGCGGCGCGATCCTTCGACCCCATCTACTCCGACCCATCTAAAAGGCCCAGATTCCTCACCCCATCGCTGCCCCGGGTCATAACCTGGATCTCCGGCGGCCGCTCGAGACGGTCTGGGCAGACCCAGACGCCTCTCGGCGAGGCGCAGCTGCTGGAGAGCACCGCGACGCCAGAAAGCCGCCGAGAACCGCCGAGAACGTCCGAAAACCTGGATCTTGGAGACGCCCATCCCTATGTGACTACCTGCCAGACCTCTTAACCCAACCCGAAGACCCGAACTTGACCCGAATTTTGGGTTGGGGGGGTACGGGTTCCATGTGTTTCTACAGTGTTCTCGGACCCTCCCCACTGGAAATGGAGGGCAAATTGAAGCCTTCGGGTTGGGTTGGGGTGGTTTGTCGGGCCAGTGCCGAAACTGGCTGCATGCGGCAGATTTCGCGACCCCCCCTTTCCCAATCCCCCCCTTTCGTCCGGCCCGAGTTTGGTGGGTGGTGACTGTCGTTGCCCCTCCTCCTTGCAGAAGGCGCCCATCCCTATCGTTAGGTCGGGCATGTCCTCCTACAGGCAGCTTTAAGACGAAAAATAAAAACTGTCAAAACATATTCAAAAATATTAAAAATAGTCAAACAATCGTCCCCAATTTTTTGACCATTTCTGAATATTCCTCCTGTAGAGGGACACGCCCGACTTGACCCTCTTGCGGCCCATCCTCCTTGCTGAAGGCGCGCGGGCTTCTGCGCAGGTTTGGAGTCTCGAAACGGTGCGGTGACGGACCGTGCGGTGACCTCAAAATCCCCCAAGACCTCACCGCACGGTCCGTCACCGCACGGTCTTGGAACCCCGGAGGCCCCTGTCGCCGGAGACGTCCTCGGAGAACGACCCGAGTCCCAAAACCGTGCGGTGACCCCGAATCCCCACCGACTCACCGCACGGTGTGGTCACCGCCCGTTTGGGGGCCCCCGCAAGGCGCTTGGGGCAGGCTGGACCTCCGCCGGCCCCCCGGGAAAGACGAAGGGAAAGGCAGCAGTGCACGCCACTCGAGCTTGAGGTACGGCAGGTGCGTGTCGTGACGACCCCGTCGTTGGTTTCTGACACCGCGTGGATCGTTCAACCTTGAACGATCGGCGGCTCCTCGATCGCACAATCGTTCCATGTTGTTCGATTCTGGGCCACTGGCGGCGATCAACCTTGAATGCCCGCGGCGGGGTCGACGAGGGTCGACACAACGCGAGCCTACCGTAGGCAGGCGCGGAAAGTAGTTAAACTGGGCCCCCGAGCAGGGGCGGAGGCCGCAGGCCACCAGGATGCTGTCCGCCGCCGAGGGCGACGAGGCGCCCGAGGTGGCCAGCACCTTGGCCTCGGCGAGGCGGCCCTGGGCGGCGCCGGGCGGGCGGCGCTTCGGGGCGGCGGCTCCCCCGGGGGGCCCGGGCGCGCCCTCGATCGAAGTCGAGGCCAGGACGAGGACAAAATCAGGAGAAGGAGGAGGAGGAGGAGGAGGAGGAGGAGGAGGCGGAGGGGGGGGGGGGGAGGAGGAGGGGGGGAGGGGAGGAGAGGAGGAGGGGGGGGAGGGGGGGGGGAGGAGGAGGAGGAGGGGGGGGGGAGGAGGAGGGGAGGAGGAGGAGGAGGGGAGGAGGAGGAGGAGAGAGGAGAGATGGAGGAGATGGAGGAGGAGGAGGAGGAATGGGAGGAAGAGGACGAGGACGAAATCGGGCGAGGGCAAATCACGACGGCAGGTCTTCCGCTATTTTAGACCGCCGGTGGCGCTCACGGGGCCTCGGGAGCGTCAAAAGCGGCTCGGGCTGAGAAGCCGTCCCAGGGAATGGGTCGAGACCTCGGGGAGCAAGACGACGCCAGGACGAGGATAACGTCGGGTGGGGACAGATCGGGGATCTCTGAGATCCCGCAGTTCTGGAGTGTGTCTCGGGCGCCGCGGCCTTCTCAGAGCGTTCCAGAGCGCTCTGAGAGCGGTCCTGAACGCTCTGGAATGGATTTACCCTTGCCTAGCCCCGTCCGGCCGACCCCTCCTGGTGCGGGGGGGGGCTCCGACAAAAAAATTGGGAGCCACCGGTTTGTGGTCGTTTTCAACCTCTGGGGGCTCTCAACTGGCCCGGGAGCGTGAAAACATTGCTCGGGGCGAAAGACTTGCCCTGGGGAGGTGGTCCAGACCTCCCAGGAAGAAGGGGGGATTGGACTGCTTCGGATTCCGTGCTGGGTTCGAAACCAAAACAGATTGAAGAGAGGTTGCTCATCTGGCCTGGATCAGGGGGGCGGAAGGAAGGAAGAAGGGAGAGAGGGGTGGAAGGTGGGAGGGAGGGGGGGCAGCACCCCTGTTCGTCCTCCTCCCCCTCCTCCCCACCCCCTCTTCCCCCCCCCCCCACACCTCCCTCCGTATCATATCATCTTGTTCCTCCTGCATCTCTCCTCCTACATCTCTCCTCTTCCATCCACTTCTCTTATAAATAACTACTCCCCGACGCACCCCACAACGTGTCGGTAAGGCAGGCCGAAGTTTCGCCTGAGACTCCTCACTGTAAATGACCCTGAAGCTTGAAATGTGCAACAGCTTCAAGGATGGAGGGCGGGAAATGTTCAAAATCTTGGTGTCGCCATAGCGCCGCTGACATTCGTCTTAAAAGGTTGCAGTGTTCTAAGCGTGGAGCCCGAACAGCGATTCCTTGCAACCTAGGTGGCAGTCTAGGTGAGACAATCCACGTGGCGCAATCCAGGTGGTGCAATGTACGTGGTGCGAAGCAATGCAAAGCAATGCAAAACAGCGCGAAGCGATGCAAAACAATGCAATGCAATGTAAGACAAAACAATGCAACACAATGCAATGCAATGCAATGCAATGCAATGCAATGCAATGCAATGCAATGCAATACAACGTATATGAATACTAAGCAATGCGCAAAGCAAGATGCAAAGTAATGTGCAAAGCAATGTGTACAGCAATGTGCAAAGCAATGTGCAGAGCCATGTGCAAAGCAATGTATAGGGCAATGTGCAAAGCAGCGTGCACAGCAAAGTGCAAAACGATGTGCAAAGCAATGCGAATAGAAGCGCATGAAACAAACCATGCAACGCAGTGTGAAGCAGTGCACAACGATGGAGTGCGGAATGTGATTCAAATCATCTGCAAAGCAAGGCATTGCAACGGGGGAGGATGCAACGAGACGGCGGCGGCGATGTGCGGGAATTGGGAAGCATGGGGCGGGGACGGACGGGAACGGGGCTAGGGGGCCACATGCGAACCGTACCCCTACCCCCCACGATTTCTGAGGGGAGGGTGGCGTTCACTTCGCTCGGGAGCTCCCGAACGAAGTGAACCCCACCCTCCCCCTCGGAAATCGTGGGGGGTAGGGGTGGGGTTCGCATGGAAGCCCGCAAGGATGCCACGGGGCGGCGGCGGCGATGTGCGGGAATTGGGAAGCATGGGGCGGGGACTTACCAGCCTGGAACATATCCCTATCCCTATGCTGGGCATCTCCTCATCGCGATGCCAATCTCAGGGATTCCCTTATGTTTTGAGGGCGCATCCCTGAGATTGTCATCGCCTTTTGGCGTGTCAATCTTAGGGATAGGGATAAACTCGAGGCTGGTAAGGGACGGACGGGAACGGGGCCGCCTGGGCGGCACGCGGGCCCGAGTGGGGCGGCGACGGACGGGAGCGAGGCCGCCGGGGCGGCAGTCGGGCCCGGCTCCTGAGAAGGGGCAGCAGGACCTCGCAGTCCAGGGATGGAGATCGCACAGGAAGGAGGAGGAGGAGGAGGAGGAGGAGGAGGAGGGTACAAGGAGGAGGAGGAGGAGGAGGAGGAGGAGGACAGCAAGATTAGGTCGGGCCTGTCCCCCTACAGGGGGGATTTTCGACGAAAAATAAAGAATGCCCAAAAAATACTCCCTCATGGTCAGAAAATACTCCAAAAATAGTCCCCGGACTATTTTGTTGACTATTTTAGGGGAATTCCCCCTGTAGAGGGACAGGCCCGACTTAACAGTAGGATCTCTCGGTCCAGGGTGCAAGCGCTGACTCGGGGACATGTTCACGGAGGGAGCCCGGCCCGTTCTCAACATGTGGCCTTCGCCGCAACGCGGCGACCACTCGCAGCGCGAGATTGCAACAGCCTCCAGGATGGAGGGCGTTTCCTTGTCAGACTCTGATTCTCGCCTTGGCGCCACGCCTGGAGGATTCGCACTGCTGATGTCCCCAGAGTGGTGGCCTTGCACGACTCAGGACTGGTGGGACGCAATGGTCACGTCGACTCGCGGCGTTGACATCCTAGGAATCGTGCTCTGGCGCTGCTTGCGATTGTTAGGAAGCACCAGCCACATTGATTCGCGGCGTTAAAGCCCCAAAAACTGCGTTTCGGAGTGATTGAGGATGCTCGAAAAGTAGTTTTTTGTTTTCAATGGAGCACTTCCAGCAATGTAGACAATTTCTTGCAAGGATTTATGAAGAGGGAAGTGGGACAAAGAGTGTGTTGCAACATCGTTGATGCGGTTGGGTTTACACTGGTTTCCTCCTTCTCCTCCTGCTCCTCCTCCTCCTCCATCCCTCCTTCTCCTCCTCCTCCGCCTCTTCCTCCGCCTCCGCCTCCTCCTCCTCCACCTGCTCCTCCTCCTCCTGCTCCTCCTCGTCCTCCTCCTCCTCCTCCTCTTCTTCCTCCTCCTCTTCCACCTCCTCCCTCTTAGGACGGCCCTCCTGCACCTCCCCCTCCAAGAGGGGAGGGAAGGGAGGGAAAGGGGGGGAACGAGACGGGCGCGGGAATAGAGGGGAAGGGGACATGGACTGGGGGAACGAAACTGCCAGCGGCCGCGGCGGCACTGGCAGCATGGCAGACGGAAGGAGAGAATCATCCCAGTCACCACCATCAGAAGAGACAGGGACGGGACGGGGAGGGAGAGTCGAGACAGAGACCGAGACGGAGAGAGGGGGAGAGAGAGAGAGAGAAAGAGTGAGAGATGGCGTGTTGAAAAAGAACGCGCGCAAGCATCCCGCCCCCACTGGTGAAAATTGTTGGGGGTGGGATGCGCCGGCGCGCGCTCGCGGCACTCGTGTCCCAGACCCGCTAGCCTGCCTCGGCTGCGCCCGAAAGCGGGCCCCCTCCGCGCCCCCACACCCGCGCCGTCCCCCCACGCCGCCCCCTTAAAAAAAAGGGGAGCCCGGAATGCGTTGCGCTTCCCCGCGAACGCATCGCTGCGCGACAACTGGCGAACGACGACGGCGGCGAACGACAAACGACAAACAACTCCAAACGGGCGGCGCGGACGGCAAACGACGACCGACGAGCGACGACGACCACGACGAACGACCAACGACGAACAACAAATGGTGGCCAGGACGACGAAGGTCGAGGAACGGCAAACGACGCCGCCTCAGTCCTCCTCCTCCTCCTCCTCCTCCTCCTCCTCCTCCTCCTCCTCCTCAGGACTCCTCGTGCGCGGGCTCGCGCGTCGCCTCCGCGGCGGCCTCGGCGCGCCGCCGGCTTTTCCGCGCGGGGGGTCGGCGCGCGGCGCCAGGCAGCCTGCACCCGCGCGACGGCGCAGCGCCCGCGCGCGCGCGCAAGGGTAAAGGAAGAAGAACTATGCACATACACCGATGTTGGCCAGGCCCATTCTGAGCCCAGGATCGGTGCATACGCCCTCCTACCTTGGCCAGGAAGGCATATGCACCGATCCTGGGTCGGATCGGTGCATGTGCATAGTTCTCTTCGCCCGGGAGGGACACGCGCGCCGCACGGGCGAAAATTTGTTTTTGTTGTTCGTTTCGTCTGTGGGCCCGCGAGAGCAGAACCACGCGGTCAAGAATTGGGGCCCGCGCGTCGCCCCCGGGCGCGCGCGCCCGCCTCGCCTGCGAGCAAGAGCGGGCCCCTCTGAGAGGGCAGCAAAGGGATGAGCGGCCCCCTCTGAGCACGGGCGAAAATCTCGGAACGCAAAGTCTCGCGCTGGGCTCGGCGCGCAAAGCCAGGCAGGCTCGTCACGCGACGGAGCGGCGCGCGAGCGCACGGGCGGGGACGCGCGCATCGCGTCGCCGGCGGTCTCGGCGCCGCCGATTTTCGCGCGGGGGCGTCGGCGCGCGGGGCGCGAAGCAGCTTCCTCGCGCGACGGGGCGGCGCTCGCACGTGCAGGGGAGGACTCGCGCGCCGCTTCGGCGATGGCCTCGGAGCGCAAGCTCACGCACGGAGGTCGGCGCGCGGCGCCAAAGCAGCTTCCTCGCGCGAGTTGGCAGCGCTCGGGCTCGGGGGGGGGAGGGCTCGCGCGTCGCATCGGCGGAATGACGTGTCGGCGCCGTGGACTCGATCCGCGAAAGTAATGACGCCTCGCCGCAATGCTGGACACGCGCGCGTGCGCGCGCATGTCTCTGCGGCTGCGACGCCAACGCGCCGCATGCGCGGGCGCATCGCAACGCGACCACCGCGCGGGAGGAGCGTGGGGGATAGAGAAAGCATGGAACTGCTTTCTCGGGGTCCATCAGGCCGCGTTGACTGGGGGTTCCTGGGTGCTCCTGTGGCTTTCCCAGTGCTTGCTGGAGCCTTCCCTGGGGCCTCGCAGGGCCTCCTGAGGCTCCCGGGGGCCTCATCCTATAACTTGTCCTAGGGCCTCCTGGAGCGTCTGGGAGCGCCTGGGTGCGCCTGGGAACGTCTGGGACGCTTGGGGAGCGACTGGGGGACTCCTGGTAGCGTTTGGGCGTTCCTGGGGCGTCTATGGGGCGCTTGAGAACGCCTGGGGGCGTCTGGGAAAGTCTGGGAGCGCTTGGGAGCGCTTCTGGAACGTCTGAAAACGTTTGGGAAGGCCTGCGAGCGTGTGGAGGCGTCTGGGAGCGTCTGGGAACGCCCGGGGCCGTCTGGGGAGCACCTGGAGCTGCTTGGGAGCGCTTGGGCGCTCCTGAAACGTTCTGGAGCGCCTGAAAGTGCGGGGACTCCTGGAGGCGCTTGCAAGCGCCTTGGGCCGTCTGAGGAGCGCCTGGAGCCGCCGAGGACCGCTTGGGCACTCCTGGAGCGTCTGGGAAGGCTTGAGGGCATTTCCGGCGTCCAGGAACGCCTGGGACGCCTGGGGGGCTGGGAGCTCGTGGCCGCTCCTGGAGCGTCTGGAAACGCCTGGGAGCGCTTGGAAATGTGGGGACTCCTGGGGGCGCGTTCAGGCGCCGTGGGCCGTCTGAGGAACGCCAGGGGCCGCCGAGGAGCGCTCGGGCGCTCCTGAAGCGTCTGGAAGGAAGGGCCTGGGAACACCTCACGCGCCTGGGAGCGCCTGGAAGTGCCTGGGGATCGCATGGCGCTGGCCGGGAAGGTTCGGGCGTAGGTTCGGGCGTTCCTGGAGCGTTTGGGAGCGCTTGGGGGCGTGTGGGAACGCCTGGGTACGCCTGGGATCGCTTGGGACCGCCTGCGGAACGCCTGGGGCCCCTTGGGAGCGCTGGGGAGCGCCTGGAAGCGTCGGGGGCGCGGGCCCGTGGTTTTTTACCAGGGATCGCGGCCTCGGGGGCGCATTTTGATACCATTTTTGGCCAGGCGCCGCTCGCCCACTGGAACCCCCGAAGGTTGACTGTCGGCTCGAGGTGCCCGCGGGCGACTTCGAAGAGGTCCCGCGACCCAGATTCGTTCCAGAGAGCCTCTCTGGCAATAAAGACACTCGCACGATTCATGGGTGGCGGAAGGCCCCATAGTCCAAGTTGGGACGTGCGCGCGATAACGCCATCCTTCGGCGCCACCAAAACAAATTTCAAAGAATGCAGACATATATTTTGTCGGAGCTTCGGTTTCGTTTCCTGGTGGGCGCAAGACCTGAGGGAGGGAGTTGTTCCTGCTGTGCTGCGCGCCAGGTGAGGAAGGCGTGGCCAGCCTCCCACACCGCGCGGCGGCGGGCGAGCCAGCGCTCGCCCGCCGACGCAGTGCATACACCTGGCACTCCGCGGAGCGCTCCGACCACCAGTCGCTCTCGCTGCTTGGCGGCTGTCAGGGCCGACGCTCGCTCCGGAGAAGGAGGCAGAAGCAGATTACCAGCCTGGAACATGTCCCTATCCCCATGCTGGGCATCTCCTCATCACGATGCCAATCTTAGGGATTCCCCTGTTTTTTGAGGGCGCATCCCTAAGATTGTCATCGCCTTTTGGCGTGTCAATCTTAGGGATAGGGATAAGCTCGAGGCTGGTAAACAGGGAGAGAGAGGGAGAGAGGGAGAGAGAGAGAGAGGGGGGGGGACGGCCGCCCTATGACAAGCTCTGCCAGGGCTGGAGCAACTGGGACGGCCAATCGCAGATCTCATGGAAACACCACCGCGGATAAGACACAACACAGCGGCCAGTATAGCGAGATGGCGGCAGCCACATGACTGTCCCTGGGGGTGGGTCGTTTGGCTCCCTCTGGCCGCCGAAGGTCGGGCACTCTTCGGCAATCCAGGCCTCTCAGGAGGGACGTGGTGGGCGCTGAAGGCGTGGTCTCCGTTGAACAGGTTCCGACCGTCTCGACATTTCTGTAGGCCTACCGCGACATGTTCCCAGAAGGGGACAGCTGAGAACATAGAGTCGACGCACTAGAAGGAGAAGGCCTCGGACAGAAGTGCTCCGAGAACAGTTCGTGTGCAAACCACAGAGAGGGTTCTTAGAACGTGCTTTGGTGGGGCCGTCATTGGCGGCCTGGGAATGGGCACCAACACCAAAACAGGGGGTTGCCTCCACAGGGGGAAGATGATCCTAGATTTCGGTGTTGGTGGTAATATTTCGGTCACCTTGGAAGCCAGAATATCACCACCACCACCGAGATCGGGATCTTCTTCCCTCGTTGGAGGCACACCGCCGATCCTGGTGTTGGTGTCAACCTCTAGGCCTGCGACCTTGATCCATGCTTGCGATCGCCCGAAGCTGTGGGGGGTCGAAGTGATTGCTCCTCCCTTGGCGCTGCGAACCCCTGACCCTCGGGCGCACGCTAGCATCGTGGATGGCATGACAATGGACACCCGAACAGTCCTGTCATGGAGTTAAAGTGTGTTTGAAATGTCACTCGGTGGAGGCACACCGCCGATCTTGGTGTTGGTGTCAATTGAGAGTCCCGCGGCAACCCGGACGGCAGGCGGGGCGCCGCAGCTGCGGCGGTGCTCGTGCCGCGGCGACCCTCTCTGCTGGCTGCTGGCACCGCGCGGGGCGCGCCTTGCATTTAGTCGGGCCTGTCCCCCGTGCAGGAGGATTTTCGACGAAAAATAAAAAATACCAAAAATAATCAAAAAATAATCCAAAAATCGTCTGGGGGCGATTTTTTTAGTATTTTTACCTTTTTGGAATATTTGAGGGGTATTTCTTTTTATTTTTCGTCGAAAATCCCTCTGTAGGGGGCACGCCCGACATAATCCTTGCACCGGCCGCTCCCCAGACCTCCTCGAGTCGTGAGCAGAAGCACGACGGAGGAAGTTGTCTGTGCGCGTTGGGGCGGTCCTCGCCTGCTCGCAGAGCTGTCCTGGCCTCGGGGTGCGTTCCAGCACCTGCGCCCCGTCGAGGAGCGAAGAGGGCACTCCGGGGGTGCCCGAGGCGCCGCGGTCGGCCGCCCGAGGACCGAGAGGCCTGGCCCGAGCACCCGGCGCCCTCGCGCGGCCGAAAAAAAAACATGCCGCTGCCGCGGGGGGCCGCGCCCCGGGAGTCTTGCGGAGCGGTGGATCTGTGGACGCCTGCCCGCCCCTCCTCGGGATCCACACTCGGGAGCGGCCAAGAGGGGGGTGTCCACGAGGGGGGGGTGCAGATCATGACCGGCGGCACGTGCGCGGCCCAGCGGGGGGGCCAGGGGCGTACTGGAACAAGAAGGGGCGCCGTGAAATCTGGGGAGATATCATGGCCCCCGCCATGAGATCCCCCCCCCTCTAGTCATCACCCCCCTCTTTGCCGCCCCCGACACATGCACGGACACGTGGACGCAGGCGGGCAGATGTCCACGTCCAGGAGAGCTCAGAAGCGAATCGGTGTCGGATCGGCGATCGACATGAGTCGGATCGGCGGCAACCGGCAGCCGAGTCGGGAGAAGTCGAATCGGCGGAGATCGGCGGGCCGGCACGCCTCCGCTGTAAGGAGGCGGAACCCAAATCGGAATCCCAAGCCGAATCGAATCGGAATCGGGGTCCATCGAAATCGAATCGACTCGAATCGGAGGAGTCGAGATGAGCCCTGCACATCCACCGCTCCTCGAGAGCCCCCGGGCACGACTCGGAAGCGGTGGCCACGGACGTCTGCGGGCGACGGAGCTGGGCCACCGGCGGGGTTCCGTGTTGAACGCCGCCGGCGGGGCCGACGGCGCGTGGACACGGCGCGAGCCTGGCGCCGTGTCCAGAGAAGGGGGGGGGAGACCTTCTCCTCCTCCTCCTCCTCCCCTCCTCCTCCTCCTCCTCCTCCTCCTACTCCTCCTCCTCCTCCTCCTCCGCCCCCTGCCTCTCTTCCTCCTCCTCCTCCCTCCTCCTCCTCCTCCTCCTCCTCCTCCTCCCGGCTCGGAGGAGCAAGGAACGGCACAAACAGAAACTTTCGGCGCTCCGCGCGGATTCCTTGGTTTTGCTCTGGACCCCTGGCCAGGCGCCGATCCAAGAAAGCCGCGCGGAGCGCCAAGAGTTTACGCTGCCGGCGTTTTCTCTTCTTCGAAACCTGTCGGAGGCTGGGTCAGGACTGCGCCGCGACCCCTGCGGGTTGTCGGGGGCGCATAAGCATGGATGAGCGATCCATAGATTGGGGCGCGCGGTCGCAGAATCCATGGATCGGGGGAGGCGCCCTCCCCAAAATGCGGCCGGTGCCGCCTCGTTCGGCGGCGGAAACCCGCGATTTCCCATGGAAACGGGACTCGTCGCTAATCCACGCCCCCTTGATCCATGTTTGCGATCGCCTGAGGTACAGTCGGGGGCTTGACCTAAGGAACCCTAAATAAGGAACGGGGTCCCTTCCTCCCATAAGTTGAGCTTCGATTTCCCATGGAAAACCTCAGGAAAACAGAAGGCTAACTGCAGAACAATCAAGGAACACCAAGCCCCTCCCCAACGAAAAGGGTTCCTTCTTCAGGGCCCCGACTGTACGCCGTGGCCTTGCTCCGTACCCCGAACCACTGCACCCGGGGGGTCTGGGCCTGCACGTCCTCCAGGTCCGGCAGGTCGCCGTCCAGCTGGTCGTAGGCCTCCCTGAGCTTGTTGTCAAAGTTCGTGAAGGGCGTGGCCGCTTTCCTCGAGGGGGCGTGCCGCTGCTTGCCCCAGAGGAGGAAAGAGGAGCATAAAACGGCATAAACATATATTTTTGGCGGTCCGCGCGGACTTCTTGGTCCCTCCCTGGCTCGCGGATTGCGCCAGGGACGGCGCCAGAGGCGCCGCCAGAGGGGTCCGAGCGCAGATCCAAGAAGATCCGGATTTTCTAAGAAAAATAGGAAATACCCCCAACAATACCCCAAAAAGGTCAAAAAATACTCCAAAAACAGTCCCCAGACTATTTTTTGGACGATGTTTTGGCTATTTTGAGGATATTGTTTTATTTCTCGTCGACAATCCCCCTGCAGAGGGACAGGCCCGACTGGAGGCCAGGCGAAGGCCCCACGGACCCACAGCGAGAGGCGAACCGCCAACGGCCGAGGCGCCGCGGCCCCGCCGCCGTCCTCCCAGGGGCCCCAGGCGGCGCTCCCGCGCGCGCGCACGCGCGGCGGCGGCGGCGCCTCGCGCGCCCCCTCCCTCGAGGCCGCCGTGCCGGAAGTCAGGGGGCCGCCTGCGAACCCTACTCCAGATTTCGTAATAAAGGGAGGGGGTCTCATTTCGGGGGGGTCTCCTCCAGGCCATCCTGGAGGGCCTCGGGGGGTCTGGGGGCGATGTCTTGGAAGGTTCTCCCACGGGGGAGGTCTGAAATGGCTTGTCTTGGAGGGTCCAGACCCCCTGCCTTTCATTAGGAAATCTGGAGTACCCCTGCCCCCCCACGATTTCTGAAGGGAAGGGTGGGGTTCGCTTCGCTCGGGAGCGCCCGAACGAGGCGAGCCCCAGCCTCCCCCTCCGAAATCGTGGGGGGTATGGGGTCGGGTTCGCGTGCGGCCTCCCAGAAGTCCCCTGCCCTCCCTCACCCCTGGTGGAGCGCGCAAACATGGAGTAGCGATCCATGGACTTGGCGCGCGGTCGCCAAATCCACGGATCGGGGGAGGTGCCCTCCCCAAAACGCAACCCATGCCGCCTCGTTCGGCGGCGGAAATCCGCGATTTCCCATGGAAGCGGGACCCGTCGCTAATCCACGCCCCCTTGATCCATGTTTGCGATCGCCTGACTCACCCCCTTTCCAATCCATCGTCCAGGACACCCAACCCGCCTCCCCCCTTGTCCCAGGGGCGGGGGCTTAACCCCCCTCCCCCGCTGCGTGACCCAGGATCTAAAGCGCCCTTCCCCCTCTCCCTCCCCTACACATCTACCTCGCCCTGACCTCAATACCCGAACCCTACCAACCAAACTCTAACCCTGTAACCCAACCCTGACCCAAAACCCTAGCTCTAAACACTGACCCTAAAACCTGATCCATGAACATTGCCCGAATATCCTGATCCTGATACGCTAACCTCAATCGCCCTGATCACCAACCATAGCACCGTAACCCTAACACGTAAAACTAAACATTAGCCTAAACCCTGACTATCTCCAAAACGCTAACACTCTGACCCTAAGACCCAAACCCTGGCCCTTCAACCAAACCCGGAGGCCTGAGCACTACCCGTAACCCTACACACGAAAATGAACACCGGAACCCTAAACCTAAATAAATCCGACACGGAGCCGTCGGCTCTGAGTGGAGGGCCTCAGGTTCCTTCGAGTTCCATTCAGTGGGTACAGTGGAGGCCAGTCCACAAGAAACCTTCCACAAGAAACCCAACCCTGAGACCCCAGGATGTTCATTGATTTTTGGTGTGGGAGCGTCACGCTATCCATCGCAAAACCATCGGAACCCAAGAAACCCAGGGCACCCTGGAGGCAAGCAGGGTGTTTCTTGGCATGGGTCTCCACTGTAGCAGAATTGCTACACCCCTGGCGACTCTTCCTGGGGACGCGCAAGTGCAACGCCTGCTACATCGCGATGAGCATGGGGCTCCGAAAGCAAGAAGTCTGATCAAACAAGCAGGCAAGCCGCCTGAGACATCCCCGCAATCTGGGCGCGAAAGGGCAAATGTCCTAACCCCCTGGCGGCTCTTCCTTGAGGT